TTTTTTTGGCAGAGTCTTGCTCTGTCGCCCAGGCTGGAGTGCAGTGGCGTGATCTCAGCTCACTGCAACCTCTGCCTCCTAGGTTCAAGTGATTCTCGTGTCTCAGCCTCTCGAGTAGCTGGGACTACAGGCGTGTGCCACACGCCCAGCTAATTTTTGTATTTTAGTAGAGATGGAGTTTCACCATGTTGCCCAGGCTGGTCTTGAACTCAATCTGTCCTGAGCTCAATCCGTCCTCTTTGGCCTCCCAAAGTGCTGGGATTACAGGCGTGAGCCACCACACCCGGCCTCACTGACCCGCTTAATGCTCCCAACCCCCCAAGCCTGCTCCACCCCCAGGGCCTTTACACTTGCGGTTCCGTCTGCCTCAAACCGTCTAGGTCTCCCCTCGAATGTTATGTCCTTAGAGAGGACTTTCCTGACCAACCACACCTCCCCTTCATAGGTGCTCTCACCATCTAAAAGCATCCTGAGCATTTGTTTTTTGTTTTTCTAGAATACCATGTTGCATTTATATCCTGTTTTTTTAAATTATTGTTAAATTTTTTAACTTTTTAATTTTTTTAGAGACAGAGTCTCACTCTGTCACCCAGGCTGGAGTGCAGTAGTGCAATCACGGCTCACTGCAGCGTCAAACTCCCGCGCTCAAGCAATCCTCCCACCTTGGCCTCCCACAGTGCTGGGATTACAGGCGTGAGCCACCACTCCCAGCCACATCCCGTTTAACTTTTATTATCCATTTCCTTACTATCACTTGAGGTCCCTGAGGGCCTGGTATTTGTCTTGACGACTGCTTTTATTCCTGACACCTAGACCAGGATCGGTAACGGAGCGGGCACTCAGCAAAAGTCTGTTGCGTGGTGGGAAAAACGGCATACGTGGTTTAAAGACCCAGGGCCAGGGTGCCTGGCTCTTCCTGTGCCTGCCCACTGCCAGCCCTGCCTACCTGTTCCTTCGTCTGGGCTTTCTGCACGTAGTCTCGGCCAACTTTGATGCGAGGTGTGAGCAAGGCTCGGGAGAAATCCGTCACCCCCAGTCCCAAGAGGCGGCAGAGCTTCTGTGCAGCTGAGGGCGAGAGGCATCAAGATCCAATCAGCACTGGGAAGAGGCGCTTGCTGCCCAGCAAGGGAGAGGGCACTGTTCCCCACACTGCTGGGGGAGCAGAAGACGGGCCCCGCCTTTCCCAGGAGAGGCATTACGAGTCCCAAAAGTGTGTACGTTCTCTGCCCAGCTGTTCTCTTTCCAGGAACCAGAACTGGCAAAATAACCCACACGTGAGCAAAGACCGCACCACGAGGATGTTCAGAGCAGTGTTGCTTATAATCGGAGAAAACCAGGAAACAACCTGAGGGCCCAAGAAGCGGGCGTTGGTTAGATGGGTCGGGCTTCATCCATTTGAAAGAATATTCTGAATATGTTTTTTGTTGTTGTTGTTGTTGTTTTGTTTTGTTTTCGAGACAGAGTTTGGCTCTCATCACCCAGGCTAGGTGCAGTGATGCAATCTCAGCTCACTACAACCTCCGCCTCCCTGGTTCAAGTGATTCCCCTGCCTCAGCTCCTGAGCAGCTGGGATTACAGGTGCCTGGCCCATTTGAAAGAATGTTCTGCAGTCACTAAAAGCTACACTGGAGGCGGGCATGGTGGCTCCTGCCTGTAATCCCAGGGAGGCCCTTTGGGAGGCCAAGGCAGGCAGATCACCTGAGGTCAGGAGTTTGAGACCAACCTG